CAGCGCGTGCCGGCACGGCAAGGCCACTGAGTGGGGGGGAGCCCGCTGGCGTGGTGAGCATCGCCGGCGAAGAAAGAGAGATGAAGTGCACCGGAAGTGGTGGTGCCGTGACGGCGAACCGGACCAGAGGAGGTGGGACTCCAAAAAAACAGGTTGAGCTGTACCTCGCGGGGCACGTGGCGCCGGTACGGGCGGGGTGCGCTGTTGTCTCAAGGCGGTGTGCCTGGGGGGGGGGGCTGCGCAGTGGAAGACGGGAAGGCCGTCGGACGCAAAGTCAGGCCAAGCCCGCCGCTGGCCCTTCCCCCCAGGCCCCTGGAACGTCAACGAACACCACGTGGTCCTCCAGGGCCGCAGCTGACCGCCGCTGGGAGTGGAAAGCCAGTCCTCGTACAGCGCTGGGCGTGGGCGGCCCAAGGAGGGGGGCGACACCACCAACGTCGGACAGTACGTCGGCGGCCCCCGGGGCCAAGAGCGGGGGACACCCGCGTGAGGGATGGTGGGATCTGGTGGGGATATTTTTTTGATTGGCGGCTCACAAGGACAGATCCAGGAAGTGGGACGGTGTCGGCTGGGGCGCACGGCGAGATAATTAGCGGCGACGGCGCATAGGCCGACGCAGCTGGTGCACGTGCCAGAGACAAAATGCCCCCCAGTAAGACGCAGGCGACCCGGGAGCGGGGACGCAGGCATCAAAAGGAAACGGACGGAGGAGAAGTCGCACAGCTGCGCCAGCTCAGCCCGTACCGACCAGCGCGTAAGGGCGTGATTCACGCCGCGCTGTGGCAGCACGGAGGGGCCAGTGAGGCCGCACCGTCCAACACGACGAGGAGGCGAAGGAACGGGGAAGGGCGGCGGGCGCGAGGGCACGCGAGGACAGGAGAGGGGGGGAACCGAGGAACGCCTCACTCACATGGACTCCTGGAAGTACTCAACAGCGACCGACCTATGCAAGGAAACGTCGGCCCTGTCTTCCGAGTCCACAACCTGCAACTGCCTAACTCTGAAAACCGGGGGGAATCAGCTGCAAGCACTGGTCGACCTCTCTGGTGGGGATACGCGAAGCGTGAATAATTGGAGCAGCGGGCTGTCGGGGCATCGAGGCCCCATAGAAGCTAGTATGCATATGGTCTGGCTGCTCTGCGCACGCGTTCCGCCGCCCGCTCCTGGCAGCCTGTGCTGCGAGGCGACGGAGGAGGGGAGAAGGAACGAGAAGCAAGCAGACGACGGCGAACGCGCAGGCGGGAGGCCAGGGCCGGCAGGACGAAACAGGCGGGCAGGCAGGCGGCAAACGGCGGCGGGATGGGCAGGCGGGCAAGCG